AAAAACACATATGTGTGTGGTGAATCAGACCTGTAATCCTAGCAACTCAGGAGGCTGAGATCTGAGGATCGCAGTTTGAAGCCAGCCTGGATAGGATATTACAGGAGACTCATCTCTAATTAACTACCAAAAAGCCAAAACATGGGGTTCTGGTTCAATTGGTAGCATGCCAGCCTTGAGCACAAAAGCTCGGGGACCACACCCAGGCCCTGAGTTGAAGCCTCAGGACTGGGACAAAAAAAAAAAGAACAACAGGTATGAGATGGTTGGTATTGTATAGTTTGAGGTTTCCCAGACTTCACAGAGTACATATACCTTGGAGATTTTGGTATTTCTAAGCAGTGAACAAGGGCTAGATGTCATTGACCTCTATATCTGTTTGTGTTCAGTCTTGAAGTTACTCTTCTGTTTTGTAAGTATATTAGCTTCCTAGGATTGTTGTAACAAATTATCTCAAAGGAAGTTCTTAAAATAACAAGAATTTAAAAACAACAACAACAAGAATTTGCCAGGCACCTGTGGCTCAAGCCAATAGTCTTAGCTATTCAGGAAGCTGAAATCTGAGGATGATGATTCAAAGTCAGCCCCAGCAGGAAAGTTTGTGAGACTCATATCCAGTTAACTACCAAAAAAGTCAGAAATAGAGCTGCAGCTCAAATGGTATAGCACTAGCCTTGATCAAAAAAGTGTTGGGACAGTGCCCATTCCCTAAATTCAAGCCTCAGTACTGGCATAAAGAATTTGTTCTCTTAAAATTCTAGAGGTCAGAAATCCAAAATGAGCCAGTCTTGGCTCTGCAAAGGCAGAGGCTTTATGGAGATTGTAATCTCTGAATTGGAAAGCTCTGGGGCCATCAACATTGATTAATTTTTTTAGATGAATGTATCATTTAGTCACTGATTCTTCTTCTTAAATCTCCCTCTAGCTTTGGCTTATAAGGCGATTTTTTGCTTTTAGCCCCCATCAACTTAGTCCAGAATGAGTTCTTCATCAAGATATTTAACTTAGCATCAATAATCTTTTCTTTTGTCAGTCATGGTGCTTGAACTCAGGGCCTGGGCTCTGTCCACTCATTTCTTCAGCTCAAGACAAGCGCTCTACCAATTGAGCCACAGCACCACTTTTGGTTTTTCTGGTGGTTTATTTGAGATAAGAGTCTTATGGACTTTCCTGCCCCGGCTGGCTTTGAACCACAATCCTCAGATCTCAACCTCCTGAGTAGCTAGGATTACAGGCGTGAGCCACCGGAGCCCAACAGCATCAATTATCTTTCTCCCAAAAGGGCAGCACCCACAGGTCCTCGGAATTAAATATAAAAGTATCTTAGGAGGGGCTGGGAAGGTGGCTCAGAGGTAGAGTGCTTGCCTTGCATGCCTGAGGTCCTGGGTTCGATTCCTCAGCACCACATAAACAAAAAGAAAAAAGCTGGAAGTGGTGCTGTGACTCAAGTGATAGAGCGCTAGCCTTGAGCTGAAGAGCTGAGGGACAGCGCCCAGGCCCAGAGTTCAGGCCCCACAACTGGACCCCCAAAAAAAGTATCTTAGGAGTGGAGGGAGCTCCATTCAACTCACTGTAACATATTCTCAAGATACTTAGGAAACTATATAGAATAGACTTCATAAGCAGATATGTCATATATAAAAGCATTACTTGTATGCCATGTGTTTTGTGTGTCACTTGGAAAAGTAAATATTTAGGGATGTTGAAAAATATATGGAAAGTGGAGCTGTGACTCGAAGTGGTAGAGCGCTAGCCTTGAACAAAAAAGCTCAAGGACAGTGCCCAGACCCTGAGTTTAAGAAACACCACAACTGACAAAAAATAGTAAGGAGCTGGGAAAGTGGCTTAGTGGTAGAGTGCTTGCCTAGCATGCATGAAGCCCTGGGTTCAATTCCTCAGTACACATGAACATAAAGGGCTGGTGGTAGTATGCTATGTGGTTCAAGTGGTAGAGCTAGCCTTGAGCAAAAGAAGCTCAGGGACCAGAGTTCAAGCCCTGGGCCTGGAAAAAAAGAAAAATACATGGCTCTAATAGTTTTTCCAGATTTACAGTGGTATTGACCACAACACTGCCTTGTCCCAAAGACATTATTAGCGTAGTACAATTGTAAATTGCCACCACTGCTTAACCAATACCTTGTTAAGGCACTCTAGTAATTTATAGAAATCAGTTGAAGTATTCAGCAAAATGAGTCATTGTCTCTTGCTAGTCACTCCAAACAGTGAACTCTGTTCTAAACATATTAAATGATCCCCTCTTACCCACACATGCAAAGTATTATGTAGTAAATCCCAGGTTTTTTGGTTTTCTATTAGCTTTCTCCCTGTGCAGCACCAATTAACTTTAATTGGTCAAGATACTTAATAGGGAGGCTGGGAAGGTGGCTCAGTGGTAGAGTGTTTGCCTCACATGATGAGGCCCTGGGTTCGATTCCTCAGCACCACATAAACAGAAAAAGCCGGAAATGGCGCTGTGGCTTGAGTGGTAGAGTGCTAGCCTTGAGCTGAAGAAACGAGGGGCAGAGTTCAGGCCCCACGACCAACCAAATAAAAAAGAAAGTAGGAAGGCCATTTTGTCCCCACCTGACCACCTGCATGTATAAGATACAGATATACACAAATATAAATATATGTATACTTATCTAATTGGTTCTGGTCATATTATTAATACTAAATCTTCCCTAAGTGAAACCAACAAGCATTTTTCAAGTTGTCCATGAAAAGGAATGAATAGAATAGCTCTTATTCATTTAAATGTCATCATTCAATTATATGACTATTCAGTCCTATGCGCTGTGAAATGTCAGTTTAAACAGATCTGTACCTCCTGAGAATTAGTTGCTTTATGAGATCATGTTCTATGCCTTTGCTTTCATTTAACAAAGAACTTGGACAGTTTTTCTCCTTAGAAAATTGTAATCAGCATTAAATATTTTCTTGATAGCATCTCTTTCTTTGTTCTTACAAAAATATAGGCAAACATATTTATCTTTAGCCTGAAAATACTATTTTTTTCATACTAGAGTTAATGAAGCATAGACAAATGTATGTATGCTTTTATGTGACAGTCTATTGTTTAGATGTTACCTAGACTTTTGTTACTAAACTCATTTCTGAGTTAGCTTAAGAACATATACTTAAGGGCACAAATTTCTGTTGCTAAAGAAGACAGAATTGCCAAGCTAAGGCCACCATTACTATTTTTGTCATGCATGTTTGCAAGCTAATGCACAACTTTCTTTGCCCTTAAGTTACTCACAGACCTGTTGAATCAGATGATCACAAAAGTCTGAATTATAGTTTTACGAATTTATCATCATCCCCTAAATCTCGTATTTAAAGTTTCCACATACTTAGGGATCCCTTTTAGGGATGGGATTTGAAAGCCCCTTAACTGCCACAGTACCCTTATCATTCCTGTCCTCCTCACCTTTGAGGAATTCACTAATAGTAAAATAAAATTCTTTTGATAAACCAGATAGGTAAAAGGCTAAAGACAATGAGACTAAGGATATTATTTAAGTTCTAAGTATAAAGATAACTATGTGTGTGATGTGTGTGTTGGACAGATGCAAGGTGCAAGGGGAAGGAGAAAACACATCTGGTGAGAAAGAAGCACCGTAAATATAGCATAATATATATAATTACAAAATATGACAGGGGCTGGGAAGATGGCTCAGTGGTAGAGCACTTGCCTTGCATGCTCGAGGCCCTGGGTTCGATTCCTCAGCACCACATAAGCAAAAAGAAAAAAGCCGGAAGTAGCGCTGTGGCTCCAGTGGTAGAGCACTAGCCTTGAGCTGAAGAGCTGAGGGACAGTGCCCAGGCCCAGAGTTCAGGCCCCACGACCGGACCCAAAAAAAAAAAAAAACACAAAATATGACAGAGTTGAGATCAACATGAGTCATACCAATAAATGTGTATGTCTTAATACCTATTAAAGAAAAGTATATTGGCTACCAGTGGTTCATGCCTGTAATCTTAGCTACTCAAGAGTCTGAGATCCATGGATCTAGATTTGAAGCCAGTCCAGGCAGGAAAGTCAGTGAAATTCTTATCTCCAACTAAGAATTATTTCTAAGTAATTTTAAAGAAGTGATGGGAATTGAAACTGATAGATTATAAATGGATATTTGTTGCTTATTTTAGGAATTTAAGGGTTATTTAAGGGTAATTTTGTTTTAAGGCCCCAAGTTCTGAGTGCTCTATCTTGTCATTTGAGTCATGAGCTCCCAAACCCTCCTCAGCTCTCCCAGAATTGTGAGTAAAATATTTCAACCCATGGCTGTGGACAATGAGAGGGGCTTTTGGCCCTGCTAGGATTCACACAGGAGCTGCTAGGGACAGGTAGATGCTGTCTATTTCTCTTTGGAGTCTTGTCTCCCATCCCCCTTTACAATAGTTTAAAAAAAGTTTAAATAATTTTTTTTAATAAAAAATAAAAGGGCTGGGAAGGTGGCTTTGTGGTAGAGTGTTTGCCTTGCATGCATGAGGCCCTGGGTTCTATTCCTCGGCACCACATAAGCAGAAAAAGCCAGAAGTGGCACTGTGGCTCAAGTGGTAGAGCCCTAGCCTTGAGCTGAAGAGCTGAGGGACAGTGTCCAGGCCAGAGTTCAGGCCCCATGGTCAACCAAAAAAATTTTTCAATTAAAAAAATAAAAATTATTATAAAGGTGATATTAAGAGGAGTTACAATTACATAAGTCAGATAAAGCGTACATTTCTTTTTGGACAATGTCACCCCTTCCCTTACTCTGTCCCAAGTTTATACAAAATGTTTTAAAGTGACCTATATTGTTTAAATTCAAGGAGCCCAAGAATAATTCAAAAGAGGTTTCTTTTATCGAGAATAATCTGGCTTTTCTTGTCAGTGTGTTGGAGATACTTATCTTTTTTGAAAATAGACAGTGGTAGAGAATGGTCTTTTCAAAAGGAGAACATTATAATAGTGTTAACTCATACGGATGGTCTTCTAAGGTATGTGCAATGTATCTTCCCAGGTATTCCGGAAGGACCTCATCAGCGCTATGAAAATTCCAGATACTCACCACATTAATCCTGATAGCTATTACCTCTTTACTGACACATGGAAAGAAGAATGGGAAAAGGGAGTCCAGGTCCCAGCCAATCTGGACACTCTGCCAGAGCCTAGTGTCAGGTATTTACATACTTGCATCATTGACTAAGGGTATGAATATTCTCATAGCTGTGTATGCTTTGGTCAGAGAGGGAGGAAGAAACTTACCTTGTTCTCATATCATGTTTACCAATTCACTGAAACCAGTGACACATTGTATCAAATCATGATAGATCAGTAAAGTCAAGATCATTTCTTTCTAAATGTATTATGAGCCTATTTATAACATGAAACTGAAGTCCAATCTGAATTCATGATAGGGTTTTGGGAACCAAGATTTCCAAATCTGTCTCAATAATCAATATCATTTATTAAGCCTTGAAGAAAAAGATCATTAATTAAACCTTCCTCCTAGAAAATTACCTGAATATAATAGAAGCCTCTGGTGATGATGTAAATATAAGGTCAAAGCATACAATTTATAAATTTCAAACCTAAATAAGGGGATAGTAGAATAATTGGGTTAACTATAAGTACATATCTTTTATTTGTGAGAAGTTGAGAAGGTAGTTAAGTAGAAGTGGACTTTGGTTTTGTAGGAAGGAGAGGATTTTTCTTCAAGAGTAAGTAATGATTTCAATTCAAGAGTAATGGCTGTAGTTTTCCTTCATATGTAGAAGCTAGAATTAGTTTATAAATACATAAGAAAATATGTTTAGTGGTGTACAAGTATATTCCAATGTATTAACCAATATGGAAGATTCAAGGGAGAACTCAAATAATGTAATTTCTTAGAAAGGCAAAGTCAAATTTCAACAAAATAAACACCAGGATTGGGTTCTTGAAATGGATAAGGGAGGATCATGGCAAGAGGAGTAGACAAATAGAAGGAGAGGAGAATACAGTCAAGAATTTAATGTATATCCTAAAAAAAAAACTAAGAAAAGTGAGGAAAAGAGTAGGTTGGGAAGGATGGTTGATGATGTTGAAAGGGATGACATTGATCAAATGCATTGTATTCATAAACTGCTTTGATAAATGACAATTTATTTGTACAAGTACTTAAAGATAATTTTTTTTTAAAGAGTAGTGGCTAGTTTTGGAAAACATTTTCTTTTACTGGTCTTTGTGTTCTCAATGTTTTACACAAAAATGTTCAGTATAAGCTTGAGTGAAAGAAGGAATGAATAGAACATAGCGCTCCTGGTCAGAGGGTCAGAGGGTAGTGGGACCTGCTGGTTGCTATGAGAAATTGTAGATCTCATTGTACATCTGTTTCTGTCCCATATTAGGCTTCTTTTTTGAGACTATGCAGACCAGGCTGACTCCAAAACTTGTAATCATATCTCAGCTTCCCCAAATGCAAGGATTATAGGCATGTACCATCAAAGCTGGCATATATTAGTTTGTTGTTTTTTTTTTCTGTCGGTCGTGGGGCTTGAACTCTGGGCCTGGGCACTGTCCCTGCACTCTTCATCTCAAGGCTAGCACTCTGCCACTTGAGCCACAGCACCACTTCTGGTTTTCTAGTACTTTATTTATTTATTTCTAGTAGTCTTCTGGACTTTCCTACCCGAGCTGGCTTTGAACCCTGATCCTCAGATCTCAACCTCCTGAGCAGCTAGGATTACAGGCGTGAGCCACCAGTGTCTGGCTTGTATTTGGTTCTTAAAGGGCAGAGATAAGCTTCTTTGGATTCTGTGTTCCTAGTACCTAATTCTAAGTCTTAGCCATGTTCCAGACATGCTTGTCAAATCACTTTTTAGCAACCCAGTCTGTCCCAACTCACAAAGAGGTTGTGCACACTGAAGGAAAGTTCCACTGACTTGTTCAACACATGTTCCTATCTTCACTCATTCATCATTTACACCATCTTCTACCTCCTAAATGTCAGAATAACTCGAATGAAAACAAGATTGGGCACTTTCATGTCCTTGTTGTCAGCATTTTTATATAAACATGGCAACCTTGCTTGTCTTCCATTCCATTGGACTGGAAAGCTGCAGGATTATTCCAATCCAAGCATTATTGAAACATCTCAGTCTTGGTTTTGATTCAAAATCAGTATCATTTGTTACTAAATGGAGGCAATATTATTCTTGCAGGTTAAATGGAAAATGTTACATGTACCATTTAAAAAATGATAAGTAAGGAAACAAAAATAGAATAGCAATTTTAAATTTAAAGGCTTTAGAGTTGGTGGCACATACTCCCTAATTTATGTAAGGTTTCAGAGCTCTATTTGTTCTGAGCATCTATAATAGTTACCATTAGTACTGTGAATTTTCTGAAAATCCCTTATTTCTCAGAGTTCTTTGCCTATCACAGAAAATATTTCACTTTAATTAAACAAAACAGACTATTAAATTATTAATCATTAAATTTTTAACTGGTTGCTCTTGATAGTTAGAATATATTGTTCTGTATTTCTTAGAAGGCATCAATAAGGATCTTTCTGTAGTATACAACCTTCATTCTCAAGTTTTAGGGTACATCAGAATCTCCTGGAAGACTTTTTAACTTCACCCCAGGCTTTTGGAGTCAAAAAAGCACACAAACGGGGCTGGGGAGGTGGCTCAGTGGTAGAGTGCTTGCCTTGCATACATGAGGCCCTGGGTTCGATTCCCCAGCACCACATAAGCAAAAAGAAAAAAAAAAAGCACACAAACCTACTTGAAAAATAAACTAAAGCAAAACAGGATGGGGCATGGCTCAAGTTGTAGTCTTGCCCTGCCAACTACAAAGCCTTGATTTCAAACCCTAAAACCATCAAAAGAAAAATAGTCCAACAGTGACTATTTTAAGAGCTAAGAAATAGAATCTGGGGCTGGGAAGGTGGCTCAGAGGTAGAGTGCTTGCCTTGCATGCATGAGGCCCTGGGTTCAATTCCTCCGCACCAAAAAGGAAAAAGCTGGGAGTGGCACTGTGGCTCAAGTGGTAGAGCGCTAGCCTTGAGCTGAAGAGCTGAGGGACAGCACCCAGGCCCAGAGTTCAGGCCCTACAACTGGACCCAAAAAAAAAATAGAAGCTTATCTGAGGATGTGGCTTGCCCTAGCACTTCGCTACTGTTCATAAGCAGTAATTTCCATCCCAATACCATAAGAAATATTTGAAGTCCTATGCTCAGAAACTGACACAGTATTATTTCCACCATTTTTGGTGTTGTTGGTCATAGGCCTTAAACTCTTGGCTGCAGCACTGTCTCCAAGCCCTTTTTGCTCCCAGCTAGTGCTCTACTACTTTGAGCCAGTTCTGGTGATTAATCGGAGATAAGAATCTCATAAACGGACTTTATTTTCCAAGTTGACTTTGACCATGATCCTCAGATCTCAGCCTCCTGAGTAACTACATTTCCAGGTGTGAGCAACCAGCATCCAGCTATTACCACTATATTTTATTAATGCTATTTGAGAAGGCTTCCGGATTAAAGGTGGATCCCATATTTGTACAAAATGAGTTCAAAAGATTTGATACTATCTTCAGTTTACCCCACTACTATTACTCTCTTTTTTTTGTTCTTTTTTTTTTTTTTTTTTGGTAAAACCTTGAACCCAAGGTCTTGCATTTGTTAGGCAAGCACTGTAATTTGAGTCACACCTCCAGCCCACCTTTGTTTTTGACTTAAGGTTTTGCACTGTTGCCTAGGCTGGTCTTGAACTCCTGGGCTCAAGTGACTTTTAAAAGAGATTGCTATCACTTGATAAATGCTTTGAGTTTGCAGAACTCTTAAGTGTTTTCAACTCATTTGCATAGTGAAAATAATACATTTAACACTCAGGCTACTGACACCAGCCATTTTTTTACAATATATTAAGCCAAACACATTATTTCATATAATAGTCATGCAATTTGATAGTAATCGTAATTTATCATTATCCCTACTTTTTTCACTAAATAAAAATCCTGAACCTTAAATCACTTCCCAGAATCATCATACCAAGTAAGTGACAGAAAACAAGAGGCTTGTGTGAATCGAAAGCCTGTGCTTTGTACCAACATCCAGTATTGTCTCCATGACAGAAAACTGAATTTGGCTCAAATACATCTTTGATGTGCAATCTGGCCATACCTTTGTGCAGATAACACCCTTTCTCATCTTTCCCTTTCTAAATATACTACATGACCCTTACTTATGTCAAGAACAAAATTATATACAGTGGCATTATAGTAGAGTCTTAGACTCAATGAAGGTGAATAAAGCATAGCAGTGAATTCACAGCAAAACACAATACAATTTGCAGAACCACTTGTTTTCTAGAAAGAGATTTACCATACTTTCCAGAGGGCAATGCAAGTCATATAGAGTGCCCCAGCTCCACTCAATAGACTTAATACTGTGGGGGGTGGAGGATTGGGGGGGGACAGGGGGAAGCTGGGAAGGGATGGGAAGGGGAAATAAAGGAGGAGGCTACAATGCTTGATAAGAAATGTACTCATTATTTTGCCCATATAATTGTAACCCCTCTGTACAGTATTTTCACAATAAAAAATAAATTTAAAAAAAAATAGCCTTAATACTGTTGGGCCCATTCAGTCTGTGCCTGGGACCTGTCAATTGTTAAATCTTACCTGTACCATTCTCTTGCTTTTGTAGGATTATATCTGAGAAGGTAAATAGTGTTCCCTTTGTCCTACCTCGGAAATATATTCGTTGCTCCAGCCCAGACCCTGAAGAGCCTGGCTTTGTCAACATCATGGAGTTGTCAGCAGCTACATGTCGTTATGATCTGGATGACATGGATATCATTTGGCTTCAAGAACTCAATCATGACCTTACAGAAATGGGTAAGTTGTCTTCTTATAAGTAGTGAGTTGACTCAAACCCATGATTTTTTTTCTCAAAGTTCTTAGGATCTTTTAAATTTGGAATAAACACTGTACTTCTTTACTCATGATTTTTCTTGACTGGAAAAGCAAAGCAGAAGGCCCGAGTAATTTCTTTTGGTTCATAATAATATATATGTGTGTATCTTTTATATATATATATGTATATATATATAAAATTTCACTGTAATATTTAACAGGAGTTTCTTAAGACATTTTACATTGTAGATAAAGTGAGAATACTTAGGTAAATGATTATTTTGCCATTATGAAGGTTAAACTTGATGCTTGTGCATGCTAGGTAGATGTTCTGCCACTTGAGCCACACACCAAGCCTATCTTAGATCTTTTTGAGAATTTTCCTTAAGCCTTTTTTTTTGTCAGTCATGGGGCCTGAACTGTGGGCCAGGGTGCTGTCCCTCAGTTCTTCAGCTCAAGGCTAGCGCTCTACCACTTGAGCCACAGCACCACTTCAGGCTTTTTCTGCTTAGGTGGTGCTGAAGAATCGATCCCAGGGCCTCATGATTGCAAGGCAAGCACTCTACCACGAAGCCACCTTCCTAGCCCTCCTTAAGTCTTATAAGCCATAAGAATAAATATGTATTCTTACAAAATTGCTAGTCATAAGAAGAAAACTCTTTTGTTGTTATGTACATCTGACATTTGCGTATTTTAGTTGGGCTGAGTGTAAAAGACTAAGAAGAAAGAAAAGTATTGAAGGAAAAAGTAGTCAAAGCAAAAGAAAACCAGAATTACAATTAGACCTTTCTGAGTTTGTATTGTACTTTGTGATTGAAAGTACTATTGGCCTTTGCCAAGCTCCATCTAAAAAGAAGGCTAAAGACAGCCCCAAATGGTAAATATAGGCTATACTGCCTTTTCCCTATAGTATGTATATACAATGTGCTTTTCTTTGTTCTCTCTCCTTCTCTCTCCCCCCCTCTCCCCCTCTCTCCCTCTCCAACTCCTCCTTCTCCCTCTCCCTCTCCCTCTCCCTCTCTCCTCTCCCTCTTTATTCTCTCTCCTCAATCTCTCCTCTTTCCCCTCTGTCCCCTACCTCCTCTCTCTCATTGCAGGGTTTGCACTCAGGGCCTAGGCACTGTCCCTGAGCTCTTTGCCAACAAGTGCTCTAACACTTTGAGCCACAGCTCCACTTCCAGATTTTGAGAGGTTAATTGGAGATAAAAGATTCATGGGGGGCCGGGCGCTGGTGGCTCACGCCTGTAATCCTAGCTACTCAGGAGGCTGAGATCTGAGGATCGCGGTTCAAAGCCAGCCCGGGCAGGAGAGACCGTGAGACTCCTATCTCCAATAAACCACCAGAAAACCGGAAGTGGCGTTGTAGCTCAAGTGGTAGAGCGCTCTCCTTGAGCTGAAGAGCTGAGGGACAGCGCCCAGGCCCAGAGTTCAAGCCCCATGACCGACCAAAAAAAAAAAAAAAAGATTCATGGGGGGTGGGGCTGGGAAGGTGGCCTAGTGGTAGAGTGCTTGCCTTGCATGCATGAAGCCCTGGGTTCAATTCCTCTGCACCACATAAGCAGAAAAAGCCAGAAGTGATGCTATGGCTCAAGTGGTAGAACACTAGCCTTGAGCTGAAGAGCTGAGGGACAGCGCCCAGACCCACGACCAACCAAAAAAAAAAATATTCATGGGGACTTTTCTGCCCAGGCTGGCTTTGACCTGTGATCCTCAGATCTTAACCTCCTGAATAGTTAGGATTATAGGCGTGATCCACCAGTGCCTGGTGTCAAACCTGGCTTTTAAAATGCCAATGAGCAGTTTAGTTCAATGGTAGAGTGCTTGCCTTGCATACATGAGTCCCTGGGTTCAATTCCTCAGCACCACATAAGCAGAAAAAGCTGGAACTGTCACTGTGGCTCAAGTGGTAGAGCACTAGCCTTGAGCTGAAGAGCTGAGGGACAGTGACCAGGCCCAGAGTTCAGGCCCCACGACCGACAAAAAAAATTGCCAATGCTATTCAATTTTATAAAGTAAAGATAACATAAAAGTTTATTAGAAGAGCCGGGCACTGGTGGCTCACGCCTGTAATCCTAGCTACTCAGGAGGCTGAGATCTGAGGATCGCGGTTCAAAGCCAGCCCGGGCAGGAGAGACCGTGAGACTCCTATCTCCAATAAACCACCAGAAAATCGGAAGTGGTGCTGTAGCTCAAGTGGTAGAGCCCTCGCCTTGACCTGAAGAGCTGAGGGACAGCGCCCAGGCCCAGAGTTCAAGCCCCACGACCGACAAAAAAAAAAAAAAGCTTATTAGAAGAGAAATACAACAACTAAGTGTTGTAATCCTAGCTACTCAGGAGGCTGAGATCTGAGATCACAGTTCAAAGCCAGCCCGGGCAGGAAAGTCCATGAAACTCTTATCTCCAATTAACCACTAGAAAACCCGAAGTAGAGCTGTGGCTCAACAGCAATCAGGCTCTGAGTTCAAGCCCCACAACCAACAAAGAAAAAAAAAGTCAGGTTTGAAAAGTATTTCATATATATAATTATGTACACATTAGTACCTAAATACTGCTTTTTTTTTTTTTTTTTTTTTTTGGGTCCGGTCCTGGGGCCTGAACTCTGGGCCTGGGCGCTGTCCCTCAGCTCTTCAGCTCAAGGCTAGCGCTCTACCACTTGAGCCACAGCGCCACTTCCGGCTTTTTTCTTATGTGGTGCTGAGGAATCGAACCCAGGCCTCAGGCATGCAAGGCACGCGCTCTACCACTGAGCCATCTTCCCAGCCCTAAATATTACTTTTTTGCCTTAATACATTATGTATGAATATTTCCTTGTATAGCCGTTAGATGTGTTTATTGAAGCCAATTAACTAAGAGAATCATTTGTATCCAAATAAGTATATAATGTATTTTATGCCACAAACTAATATTCAAAATTACAAAGCATGACATTTCCTTCATCGGTTGAGATTCAAAGCCAGCCCAAGCAGGAACATTTGTGAGACTCTTATCTCTAGTTAACCAGCAAAAAGCCAGAAGTGTAGCTGTAGCTGAAATAAAACTTGCCTTGAGCAAAAAAGCTCAGGAACAGTGCCCTGAGTTCAAGCCCCAGGACTGGCACAAAAATGCTTTAAATAAATGAATCCAACCCTTTCCTGCTGTTTGCACATAGTAGATGACTTGGGAATAACAGTTGATTGATGGGTTGTTTGTATTTCTGTACAGGTCAAGAGTCAGTTAACGAGACACTTATGGAAAAGGTCATAGAAGCCCTGGAACATCTTTGCCATGAACGCATGAGCCATGCTATTAAGACAGTGGAAGGATTAGGCATAGAGTATGATGAAGATGTGATCTGTGATGTGTGCCGCTCTCCAGACAGTGAAGAAGGGAATGATATGGTATTCTGTGATAAGTGTAACATCTGTGTGCATCAGGTTAGTACGATTGGAGATCACCACCTCCGCATGGCCAGCCTTTCTGAAGCTCAGTGATGATATCTATCACCCGTATCAGGATAGCAATGTATATTTAAGGGTAAAGGTAAAACTTTGGGTTGTTGTTCTTCAGTATTTCCTCTGGAAACAATACTTTAAATCTCTGAGATATCTTAGTTACTAACTTTCTAATTTGGCTAAACCCAAATCTTTAGTTTGTTACTTCATATCCACACCATTGGAATTACCTTGTTGATTTTTCCAAGGAGTCCCATGCTTCCTGCCTGGGAGTCTCTGCTCTACCTTAAAATCACTGATATTATTGGTTTATACTTATAGTTAGTAACCTTGATTTGTTTATACTTCATGCCACATTGGAAAGCCACATTCCTTATCTGGTACCTAAAGCTCTTCCTATGCACTACTGTCAGGCAACTAGCCTCAACCTGTGATTTAAATCTAATTGACTGCTTTTGTTTTTGTTTTTTGGTCTGGGGCTTGAACTCGGACCAGGGTTCTGTCTCTGAGCTCTTTTGCTCAAGATAGCTCTTACACTTTCAGCCACAATGCCACTTAGGTTTTTTTTCCCTGATAGTTAATTGGAATGAGTCCCAAGGACTTTCCTATCCAAGCTGGCTTTGAACCACCATCTTCAGTTCTCAGCCACATGAGTAGTTGGAACTACAGGCATGAATCCCACACCTGACTTAAAATACTATCTTAACCCCTTAATTTTGCAAAAATACAAGAATAGGTTATATTAATTTACTTACATTATCTTTCTTTCTATCACACTGCCTAATAATAACAAGGTTAATGTTGCAAGACTCATTTCAGCTTTCTTTCCCCACAAGTGTATTGATGAATATCGCTGGCACTGTATTGTCTCCTAATTCCAGCTGTCAAAAATCTACATATCTTCCAAGATCAAGTTCAAATCTTTTCTTAAGTGAATCTATTGTGTTCATATTACTACTTTATCTAGCAAGCACTGTAGGTATTCACCATTCATGAACCTGGACTATACTACATGCTGAAGACAATCAGTGATGAAGAGGCAGACATGCTTTCTACCCCCCCAGGAAGATCATAGTCTGGTACAAGGACTACAAGGAATTGCCAATTTAGCATAGTACTTCAAGGGGTCGTTTTAGATATAAATTGATGCTACTATAGAAAAGGGATAAAGGTTAAGGAAAATTCCCAGGAAGTGGCAGCCCTAACAAATCTTAATGACCAAAAGGAGAGGTCAGGTGAACCAGCAAAATTTGTTCAGGCAGATAGGAGAACACACTGATAGCAAGTAGTAAGAGTGGGATAATCATGTCAAAGACACTTCTGTTTACTTCATAATGGAAAGGTGGAACAGGGAAGGCCTGAAGACTGAGGACAGAGAAAGGCAAAGGGAAAACATGTGAAGGATCTTCTAACAAACTACTGAATATCTTTCTTTTCCTGTCAGTGCTAAAAGATATAATTTGTAATTTAGAAAAATAATTATTTTACAAAACTAAAATGACTAGATAACATAGGAGAGAAAGAAGTCAATCAGTAGTTGACACTTTAACTCCTCCAGGGCTACCTAACTTAATCCTTTGTGTGTCAAAAGTATTCAGAATTTTCTGTGACCAATTTCTTCATTTACCTGTGTTCTTTAAAAGTGTGAATTTTGAAAGTTTATGAGTTCCATCAGTTATTGGCACTTAAGACACACGTTCAGTGAGAGCAGAAATTCTTTACCATTTAACTACAAACTTAAGTATTCAATACATTTCATAGTCCCTTCCCTGCAATTCTAAAATTAAAAAGTGCTTAATGACTACACTTTTGCCTGAAGTTCTGTACCACAACTAGTTTGTGAATATCAGAACTAAACCAATGTGAGGCCATTTATATTCTTTACCCATTTTGTGGAAATACTATTTTTTAGAGAAATATTAATGTATTTGATTATGTCATGCTGCCCTTTATCTCATTAGTAGTTAGATAGTTAAGTTGTATACCATATTACTATTGTAGGTTGTAAAATGTGACCAATTCTGAACTTTCCAATGTTTCTCTTCAAAGGGGTTTCAGATAAATGATTGTAGATCTGTAGTCGGCTTGAGGGGAGTAGGGCAAAGATTGTTTACATATTCTTTAGTTCCCTATTACATCTGGGACAATGTAATAAAGAATTATTTTCAGATTCTTTGGTTAAAAAATTAAATGTAGCATAATTCTCCTTGAGAGTATGCTTGTTTTTAAAGCATTCAGTAATGACTATAGAAACAGCTTCAGATATTCCCTTGTACATTCATTTGGATTCTAAAGAGCTATGTAGGTTAGAGCTCCCTCTGTTGACTGAAAAGTGACAAAACAATTTGGTAAAAGGCAAAAGATCTATCCCATCTGAAGAGAACCAGAGTATCTTGAAACAATTTGGAAGATCTCGTTTACTCCCTAATAGAAAAGGGGCATATTGCTATCTGAAATTATTGAACGAATTTTTCTTCCTTACCATCTCTTGTGCAGTGCTTGTTCCTCAGTGACAAAGATACACTCACAGTCAGTACTTTAGAAGTATACCAGTATTATAGATTTTAATATTCCACTAAAATTTTTTTCTTTAAAAAAATGTGAGGGCTGGGAATGTGGCTTAGTGGTAAAATGCTTGCCTAGCATGTATGAAGACCTGGGTTTGATTCCTCAGTACCACATAAATAGAAAAAGCCAGAAGTGGCACTGTGGCTCAAGTGGTGGAGCTAAAGAAGCTCAGGGACAGTGCTTAGGCCCTGAGTTCAAGCCCCAGACTGGCAAAAAAAAAAACTTTGAAAGTTAAGACTATTCCAAGTCTCTTTCATATCCATTTTCTACTTAGCCAAAATATTGAACACTTAGATTAAAAATGGAGTTATATTTGCCTGAAAGTATGTGCTCATCGTTTTTACATCATGAATATAACACTTGACAGAGTTTATTAACATCCTGAAATTACATGTAAAATATATGCCTTGCAGTTTTCTTGAGTTTAAGCTAGCTGAGGAAGGATGAGAAAGATCTGACTACACAGAGTTGACCATGTAGCACAGGGAAACTACCTAGATGTACACATAGAAGTGAGAATTTGAATGGCTAATTACAGAGGAAGAGGCCTAGTTTTCCAAGTTTGGGTGTCCTGGGGAATGGGAACAAATAGCACAGTGTTAGGACCTGTGGGTTTTAGGTTAGAAGTGAGCAAACTTTAAAGGGCCAGAAATATTTTAGGTGTTGCCAGTCACATACAGTCTCTGTTAGATAAACTTTTTTTCTTCATGCCACTCTTTAAAAATATAAAAACTAATCTTAGTGTTCACCTTACAAAATAGGTCAAGAGCGGTAGCCAGTACTACTATTGATGGGGGAAGAGGTAGATAAGGGCAGAAGAAATCCCTGAAGGATTTTGATGCTGTGCAAGGATATGAAATCTTAGCCGGGTGCTGGTGGCTCACGCCCATAATCCTAGCTACTCTGGAGGCTGAGATCTGAGGATCGAATTTCAAAGCCAGCCCAGGCAGGAAAGTCCGTGAGTCTCTTATCTCCAATAAACCACTCAAACCGGAAGTGGCGCTGTGGCTCAAGTGGTAGAACGCTCGCCTTGAGCTGAAGAGTGCAGGGACAGCACCCAGGCCAAGAGTTCAAGCCCCACGACCGACCAAAAAAAAAGAATATGAAATCTTGCATTTTAGATAGAAGGTGTGAAAGTGGAGGAATATAATTTAGAAATAACCCAAGCATGGTGTTGATGAGAACTTAGGTGAAACAGTAGTGGTAAGGGTGGGGATAGATAGTAGATAGTAAGGTCAGAATCTCTGGACCACTCTAGAGGGAAGAATAGCAAATGCCCAGGCCACTGGATGAAGGTAAGTGGTGTTCTAATCCAAAAGTTTCATCTGGATGGTCGGGTGCCTATGGCTCGCACCTGTAATCCTAGCTACTCAGGAGGCTGATATCTGAAGATCGAGGTTCAGAGCCAGCCTGGGCAGGAAAGTCTGTGAGACTCTTATCTCCATTTAAACGACTAGAAAACCAAAGTGGCGCTGTGGCTCACGCGGTAGAGCGCTCGCCTTGAGCTGAAGAGCTGAGGTGCAGCGCCCAAAGTTTCATCTGCATGATCTGAAGGAAACCTGGCTAGATATGGAAAGGAGTTTGGAAGCAGTAGGTTGCAGGAGGTGGATGGATATGATGGTAATTGTTCTAACTTGTATCTGATGGGAGGGTGAACCAGAAGTTTTGAAGCTTCCATGTTGAATCAATTGGTGATGGAAGGTTTGTTAGACCACAGAGAGAGCCACCTGTCTTTTAGGTTTTGTCCCAAATATAGTAGAACATTAAGGAAGGAAAGATGGTAAAATGGGATGTAAAAAAAAAAATAGAAGTCAAAAGGACTAGTTGATGGGAATAATTTAAGTGGTAGAGCATTTTCCTAACAAGAAATACCTCTGGCACATTTTCTGAACTCTAATCTTCCATATCATTCATTATTTTTTTATTTCTCCAGTTTGATTCCATAAAGAAATTTGAGGAGCTTCCAGAATTCATGAATTATTGTAATTAATATAGTATTCTATTCAAGATTAAATCCAATTCCCCTTTTCTTCAACCCAAGTAAAAACTACAATTTACTGATTTTTATGCAAGAGGCACTATTAAGCCCTTTAAGACATTAGCTTATTTGCTTCTCAGAAGTTTATTTCTTAATTTATTTTCTTGATCACAACTGTGCAAGACATGTAGAAGTTGCTTAATAAGTGTTTAACTTACTAATTATAATGTGTAAACATTGTAGAAAGTTTAGAGAACAAGCCAAATAAAAGATCTGTAGGTCTGTATCTCAGATGACAGTTGAGCTAGCTGCTGAGAGTATCCCTTCCTAATCTTGCTCTGTTGTCCTTAAAGTCAGTTCTTAGGAACATATGTTCTAATATTCTTTCAGATACTGCAAATTGGGTTTTTTGACAGCTTTTAAATGAATCCTGGAAAGAAGCTTTTTGGGCTTAATGTGCTTCTCTCACAAAAGCAAAGGGTGCTCTGTTTTCTGTATCAGAGCAGATGTATGTGTAGATGTCGACTCTTCTCTCTCCTACTTACATCTCCAGGCCTGCTATGGTATCCTCAAGATCCCACCTGGCAACTGGCTGTGTCGTTCCTGTGTTCTGGGTATTCGTCCAAAGTGTCTATTGTGTCCAAAGAAAGGTGGAGCCTTGAAATCTACCAGGAGTGGGAGTAAATGGGCTCATGTCAGTTGTGCTCTATGGATTCCAGAGGTAAGAAAACATCCCAGCCTAAGGCCATTTGCTTCAAGATCTCCCTCCACCCTTCATTCCCAATTAAGACTTAGCATGGAGATGCTTCCTGTTCACTCATGTTTGTAAATGTATGTTTGTATATTCTTCCACTTAAACTAAATCAGATGTTTCATGGATACCAGTGTGTGTATGTGTGTGTTTACATACATGCTGATTGCTGTAGCTGGTACTCCCTGTGGTGTGAGGTTATTTGAGAGAAGAGATAGAAAAGAGCAGGATACCACACTGTTTTTGTTCCTATGGCTCTCTAGTTTGAAGTCTGGTATTGTGATACCACCCACATTACTTTTTTTTGCCTAGAATTACTTTTGCTGTTCTAGGTCTTTTGTGGTTCATGTGAGGTTTTGGATTGTTCTCTCAAAATCCCAACATCATGGCTGGGAATATGGCTTAGTGATAGTGTTTGCATGCATGCATGAAGCCCTGGGTTCAGTTCCTCAGTACCACATAACAAAAAAAATAAAAAAAGTGGTGCTATGGCTCAAGTGGTAGAGTGCTAGCCTTGACCAAAAGAAGCACAGGCACAGTGCCCAGGCCCTGAGTTTAAGCCCCAGGAGTGGCAAAAAGAAACCACAACATCATTTGGATTTTGATGGATGTTGCATTCAATTTGTATATGTTTTTTGGTGGTATGGCCATTTTTCACAATATTGGTTCTATCTATCAATGAACATGGAAGGTCTTTCCATTTTCTAGTGACCTTTGATTTCTTCAGCTGTTTATAGTTTTCACAATAAAGATCTTTTACATCTTTGGTTAGGTTTATTCCTAAGTATTTTATTTATTTATTTGAGGCTATTGCAAATGGAGTTATTTTCATGATTTCCCTGTTTGTACATTGTTGGCATACAGAAATGTTACTGACTTTTGAAGATTAATTTGGTATCCTACTACTTTGCCAAAATTGTTATTCAGTTCTAGGAGCTTGGGAATGAAGTCTTTTGGGTTCTGCAGGTATAAGATCATGACATCTGCAAATAGGAATAGTTTGATTTTTTTTCTTTCCCTATGTGAATCTCCTTTGTCTTTTCTTGCCTTGTTGCTCTGACTAGGAATTCCAGAAATATGTTGAAGAGGAATGTAGAGAATGGACATCCTTTCCTTGTTCCTGATTTTAGGGGAAATGATTATAGTTTTTCACTTTTCTGTGAGATGTTGGCTGCTGGTCTGTCATAGATGGCCTTTGTTGTTTTAAGGAATGTTCCTTCTATTTCTACCCTCTCAAAAGCTTTTTACATAAATGAATGTTGTATTCTGTCAAAGACTTTTTCTTTATCTTTTGAGGTAGATGACATGTACTTCTAGTTTCTGTCTCCGTTGATATAGTGAATTACATTTATTGATTTGCGTGTGTTAAACTAGCCTTGCATCTGTGGGATGAAGACTACTTGGACATAATGTATGATTTTTTTATTTGTTTCTGGATTCTGTTGGCTAGTATTTATTGAAGAGTTGTGCCATCTGTGTTAATCAAAGAAATTGGTCTGTAGTTCTCTTTCTTTTATTGGATCCTTACGAAGTTTTGAGTCTGAAATTGCTCCTTCTGTTTCCTTCGTGGAAAAGCTTGAGGAATACTGGTATTAGTTCACCTTTAAAAGTCTTACTAGAACTTACCAGTGAATCCATCTGGGCCTGGGCTTGTCCTTTTTGGAAGACTTCTGATTACCTCCTCAATCTTGTGTGTTATTGGCTTGTTTAGCTGGTTTATATCTTCTTGGTTCAGCTTAGGCTGTTTGTGTGTCTCTAGAAATTTGTCTGTTTCTGCTAAGTTTTCCTTCTTTTTTGAGAATAGGTTTTGAAAGTTCTTCCTAATCATTTGGATTTCTTGGATGTTTGCTGTAATGTTTCCTGTGGCATCTCTGATTTTATTGATTAGAATTTCATCTCTTTTTTTCATTAGTCTTGCTAGTGCTCTATCAATTTTATTATTTTTTCAAAAAAACAGCTTTTTGTTTCTTTGATTTTATGTGTAGTTTTTTTAGTCTCCATTTCATTGATTTCTGCCCTAATCTTTGCTATCTCTCACCATCTAGTAGTTTGGGATTTGGTTTGTTCTTTTTCTAGCAGTTTTTGTTGCCTTATGAGGTTATTTACTTGAGTTGTTTCTGTTTTCTTTCTTTTTTTCCAAATTTTTTTTGTGATTAGTGTGTTTCTGTTTTATGTGTGGGCTTAGAGCTATGAACTCTCGGCACTGCTTTTACTGTATCCCAGAAGTTCCATTGTGAGGGGCTGGGAATGTGGCTTAGTTGTATAGTGCTTGCCTAGCATCCATGAAGCCCTTGATTCGATTCCTCAGTACCACATAAACAGAAAAAGCAGGAAGTGGCACTGTGGCTCAAATGGTAGAGTGCTGGCCTTGAGCAAGAAAAGCTCAGGGGCAGTGCCCAGACCCTGAGTTCAAGCCCCAGGACTGGCAATAAAAGAAAAATAGACCCAAAGATCAATGGAATAGATTAGAAGGCCCAGAAATAAAGCCATGCCCTTACAGTTACTTGATATTTGATAAGGGAACCATATTTGGTGTTGGGGAAACTGGGCATCCTTAGGCCGAGAAATAAAAGTCCATCCCTGTTTATCACCATGCAATAATATCAGTTCAGAGTGATCAAAGACCTCCACATCAGACATGAAAATTTTTAACTGCTACAAGAGAGAGTAGGACAAACATTAGAACTTACAGAGATAGGTAGAAACTTCTTGAAAAGAGTCCTAGGGGTTGGGCTGAGAAGGTGGCTCAGTGGTAGAGTGCTTGCCTTGCATGCCTGACGCCCTGGGTTCGATTCCTCAGCACCTCATAAACAGATAGGGCTGGAAGTGGCACTGTGGCTCCAGTGGTAGAGCTCTAGCCTTGAGCTGAAGAGCTGAGGGGCAGTGCCCAGGCTCATAGTTCAGGCAGGCACCCCTACCAACACCCAAAAAAAAGAGTCCTAGGGGCACAACAGATGGGAGAGAGATTTGACAAGGTGTACTCCCATCAAAATAAAAAGTTTCTACACAGCCAAGGATATAGTTAGCAAACTATAAAGACAGCCAACAGATTGGGAAAATATATTTACCAGCAATACATCAGTCAAAGACCTTATATCCAATATATACAAGGAGTTCAAGAAACTAACCCCTCACAAACCTAATAAACCAAACACATTTAAATGGGTAAGGTAGCTAAGGGGAGATTTCTCAGAAGAAGAAGTAAGAATGGCAAAGAAACACATGAGGAAATGCCCATCATCTGGTCATAAAGGAAATGCAAATCAAAACAACTCTGAGATTCTATCTCACCCCAGTTAGATTGGCCAACATTGTGAATTTGAACAACAAATGTGGGTGGGGATGTGGGAACAAAGGAACCCGATAGCACTGTAGGTGGGAACATAAACTAGTACAACCACTCTGGACAGCAGTCTGGAGGTCCCCCAAAAGTCTGTTTGTAAACATAGACCTTCCTTACAGCCCAGCCATACCACTGTTGAGTATCTACCCTGAACATCATGAACCAGGATATACTAAGGACGCCTGTACATCCACATTCATTGACACACTATTAACAATAGCTAAGATATACAAACAGCCCATACGCCCCACAATAGATGTGTTTATCCAAAAAATGAGGTACCTGTACACAATGGAATTTTACACAGCCATTTGAAAGAATAAAATGTCATCTGCATGGAAATGGTTGGAACTAGATCAAATAATTTTGTTAGGTAAGCCTAGCTCAGAGACAAAAAACCATGCATGTTCTTTCTGATATGTGGGAAATAAATCTAGAAGACACTGGGATATGCTGTTATACAGGATTGTAGATACTTCCACACAAACTAAAAGAGCATATTCTGAGGAGAGAAAAAGGCAAGATGTCTACATGTCTCTTTATATTTATAAAATTAGAGAGGGGCTGGGAAGGTGGCTCAGTGGTAGAGCGCTTGCCTTGCATGCATGAGGCCCTAGGTTCAATTCCTCAGCAAAAAGAAAAAAGCTGGAAGTGGTGCTGTGGCTCAAGTGGTAGAGTGCTAGCCTTGAGCTGAAGAGCTGAGGGACAGTGCCCAGGCCCAGAGTTCAGGCCCCACGACTGGACCCCAAAAATAAATAAATAAAATAAAATTAGAGAATAAGAAACTCCAAGATACAGAAACAAGAGATCTCTCTTTTTTTATTTTAATTTTTGATGGTTCCATCTTCTTTATGTATGGTATAATCAAGTGTTTATCTTCAGGGGGGTGAGAGGGAGAACTCGAGGGGAAAAGGGTGAAAAAAAATGCATCAGTGGAGCTCAGTGGACATGGAAGAAAGTGAATTACACAACTGGTGGGTAGAGACAGGAAAGAGGGACTGGGAGATAATGAGGGCTCATAAGACACTATAAGAAAAGAAATGTACTCATGTAATTGTAATCCCTCTGTGTATTGCCTTTATAATAACAATAAAATAAATTAATTATTTTTTAAAACTTAAATACAAACCGGGCACCAGTGGCTCATGCCTATAATCTTAGCTACTTAGGAGGCTGAGATCTGAGGATAGCAGTTCAAAGCCAGCCCAGGCAGGAAAGTCCATGAGACTTGATTTCCAATTAACGCCTGAAAACCAAACACCTTGAGCAAGAAAGCTCAGAGAGTAGAGCGCTCACCTTGAGCTGAAAGCACAAGGACAGTGCCCAAGCCCAGAGTTCAAGCCCCACAACCGACAAAAAAAAAAAGAAAGAAAGCTCAGAGACAGTGCTCAGGCCCTAAATTCAATTCAAGCCCTGTGACCTACAAAAAATTTTAATACAGCAAATTTTCTCAAATAGAAGCATTTTCTTATGTTTCCTAGTTCCTACTTTCCAGTACCTTTTGGACTATTCTAGGTTAGAACTTGTGCTAGTTTGGCCATCTTTGACAGTTATTCACTTTTTTAACTTGTTTCTCTCTTAGTCATACCTATATTTGTAAAATTATATGAACTCTATTTTTCATACAGAAAAGAGTTTGTCCAGGGCTGGGAAGGTGGCTCACTGGTAGAGCACTTGCCTTGCATGCCTGAGGCCCTGGGTTCGATTCCTCAACACCATATAAGCAGCAAAAAAAAAAAGCCAGAAGTGGCACTGTGGTTCAAGTGGTACAGCACTAGCCTTGAGCTGAAGAGCTGAGAAACAGCGCCCAGGCCCAGAGTTCAGGTCCCATGACCAGACCCAAAAAAAAAAGTTTGTCCATCTCTTTCTTTTAAGTATCCCTTGCTTTTTATCACTATCCTAAAAACCAATTTCACTTTGAAGCTACTTTGGCTGAGGTGTAGAGTCAACCAATAGTAGTTAGTGGATTGAAAGATTTGGCTTTGATATGTTGTCTTTATTTCTACTTACATCTTATAAATTCTTCCTTACATAAAATTTCTGCTGTTTCTGGGCGCTGGTGGCTTACACCTGTAAATCCTAGCTACTCAGGAGGCTGAGATCTGAGAATCGGTTTAAAGCAAGCCTGGGTAGGAAAGTCCAAGAGACTCTTCTCTCCAATAAACCACTCAGAAAACTGGAAGTGGTGTTGTGGCTCAATTGGTAGAGTGCTAGCCTTGAGCTAAAGAGCTGAGGGACAGCACCTAGGCCCAGATTTCAAGCCTCACGACCAACAAAAAAAAATCTGCTGCTTTCCAGTAATATTGGGTTTTATAAATCAAATATAAAGACATATCCCTGCCAGTTTTTATCCTTTGCTATTAAATGAATCAGCAAGAAATGTGGCATCATCTCTAACACATGACAGATGTTATAGGATTTGTGAATTTGAATTCTTTTCCTTAGCCTTCTCTGGTTCCTAAGTAAACATGAATGTTTTTGATTCATTGATAACATTGCTCAGTCTACATTTTTACCCTTTCATCCAAAATGTGAGTCATTTGCATTTGTGGACATGATTGAAAGGCTGAGAAGTAGTTAGAGATAATGTTTTATTTATTCTTGGTTCCATACTAACCTTGCAAAATGGGACTTAGCTCACTCACTGTTGCGATGTTCTGAGCTTCTTATACATCATTTCTGGCTTATGAAAGGTACTTCTGCGATGCCTTAGTTCTTTTTGTTTTTTGTTAGTTTGTTTTTTGCGGGTCCTGGGGCTTGAACTCAGGGCCTAGGCGCTGTCCCTGAGCTTCTGCTCAAGGCTAGCTCTATCACTTGAGCCATAGCACCACTTCTGGGCCTTTCTGATTAGTTTCTTAGAGATGAGTGAGTTTCATGGACTTTCCTGCCCAGGCTGGCTTCAAACAACAGTCCTCAGCTCTCATTCTCTTTAATAGCTGGGATTACAGGAGTGAGCCACTGATATCAGGCTTAATTCTTTTGTCTTATGGTGGTATTTTATTTGTAGGTCAGCATTGCTTGTCCTGAAAGGATGGAACCAATCATAAAGATATCCCACATACCACCTAGCCGATGGGCCTTAGTTTGCACCCTGTGCAAGTTGAAGACAGGAGCTTGTATTCAGGTAAGTCTCCATGAAAAGTGGTAGGGTGAACAAAAACCAGATTGGCCCTACTTACTCTCCCAGTACAAGTGTTTCATGAACCAAGAAATTACTCAGGAGGTTTCCCACTCACACCTACAGTGCTAATGTTATGCTAACTACTTTTGGAAATCACTTTTTTAATGTTGCCTCTAGACCCATTCTGGTTACTCTTTCTATTCGTAGTGTTTGCTAGGCACAGTAGTGTACTCCTGTAGCCGACTACCTGAAGGCCCAGCTATTCAAGCAGTTGAGATGGGAAGATCACTTTAGTCTAGGAATTTGAAGCCAGACTGTCTTCAAGAAGTATTTGTAGTCTTAGTTAATCTTTGTCTTTTACTGATGAGTTACCAGAAATCTTGACACCAGGCTATGATAGTATTTGGGATTGAAATAAGCTAGATAGAACTCTAAAATACGCAGTCTATGATACTGTGTTACTTACCTATTAACTGTAAATGCACTTGAGATCCAAGATGACTTGGATGATTTTATAGATGGTTCTGTTATTGGGCTGAGTAACCATTTTTGTTAGGGAAAAAAGATGCACTTGAATGGATAAAATCTGGTGGTTACTTTTGCAAGTCATTATCATAAGCACATTTGTTACATATGGTAATGTAAGTAAAGCTTTCTGGGACATCTGAGGTATAGAAATTCAAATGAAGGAGAAACAGTGGTTGTGGTGGCACCTAGAAGCAGCAGTTTGAAGGTAACAAGAATAAGATGGAAAGCCAGGCCACAATGACTCACACCTATAATCCTAACTACTCAGGAGGCTGACATCAGAGGATCACAGTTCAAAACCAGGCCCAGGAAGGAAAGTCCATGACACTTATCTCCAATAAACTTCAAAAAAGCTGTAGTGCTATGGCTCAAGTGGTAGAGCACTAGTTTTGAACAAAAAGCAGCTTAGAGCCAGACGCCGGTGGCTCACGCCTGTAATCCTAGCTACAAGAATAAGATGGAAAGGGTAGTTGCCTCCAGAAAAGACACAAAAATTGACTTTGTACTTTTGTTTTTCATAATGTCATTTTAGTTTCTAGTCCAAATGTAATTTTAGTGACTCTGCTAGCAAGAGGGAAGGAAAAACTAAGCTTCTACTCCTTAGGACTCCTGTATGTGAGCTACAGGTGGTTGGAGTTAGATTTGCCTTCTAACTTTCTTTATAGAAAAGGGGCTATAAAATGGCAAAGTTTAGGACAGTCTTTCTAGGTGTTTTGTGTGAGCTTCCTTACTGTCATGTCATGTTCTAGACTCATCTGACAAAACTGAATGCTTCCTTTGTTCTTTAGAAACTTTTATTTGGCTAACTTTGTTTAATTATAGTACTGTAATATATAAGGGAAGCTGTTTCTCTACACTCTACAATGACACATTTCCTGTTTCTGTGTACATTCTCTCCTTATTGGACCCTGTATGTGATCCCCGTGAAAGCCAGGAGTCTGTGACTTTGTCCTGGCATGAAATAGAGTAACTGCCCCATATATGTGTTCAAATAGTGTTGAGTACATACATGTTCATTTTATTGCACTGTAGATTAGTTTGTGATGTGCATTTCCCCCTCTAAAAAGTAAAATATTTTCCACATTTCCATAATCATTATTAATCATTTTATTTCAGACATTGTATTATTGTCCTTACTGTGGTATCTGTGTTTCCCATTATTTTTGCTGTTTTAAAACATGATTTCCTGGGCTGGCTTTAAACTGCAATCCTCAGATCTCAGCCTCCTGGCTCCATGACATCTCCCATTAACCAGTAAAAAGCCAAAAGTAGAGCTGTAGATCAACTACAAAAGGCTAGCCTTGAGCACAAAAGCTTAGGAACAGCACTCAGGCCCTGAGTTCAAGCCCCAGGACTAGCACACAAAAAAACACATTTCTATACCAGTTACTAATTAGTAACCTAACTGTAGTAAGAAAACGTAGGTATTTTTTAGCAGTACTAAGATTGAACTCCAGCACTTAAGCTTCCAGCTCTTTTTGCTTTAGGTTATTTTTCAGATAGGGTCTCACTGGCCTGGAGCCAGTCTCAGCCAGTGATCTTTCTCCCTATGCTTCCCAGGTAGCTGGCTTGCTTATCGTCTCACTGACTTTTACCTAGACTGACCTTGAACTATAGTCCTCCTGATCACTGTCTCATGAGTAGATAGGATTGCAAGTATGAGTCAGTCACCACGACGGGCTTTATTTTTCTTTTTTCCTTTTTTTCTTTGCAATGCCAGTAGGTAAAACCCAGGACTTCATACCTGCTAGACAAGTACCCTACCACTGACCTATCTTCCCAGTCCAAACTTCTGAGTATGTGGAATTTCATTTATCCAAGATAATAGGTTACAAGCAATAAACATTAAAAAGCACATTACAAGATGGCTATATGCCATGAAAAATAAAAATGTGGAGCTCAGTTATAAGTTTAAGTCAAGGTGGTAAGGGTAGAGTATCTTGAGGTAGGTGGCATTTGAGCAAAGATTGGAAAGCAAGAGGAAAAGCAGTACAAATGATCCAGACAGTAGAAGTGTTCCAGACAGATGGAGGAATGGTCATTTAAAAGACTATGAGATATGAGTGCCAGCAAAATCAGGTTGTAATATGTGGAAAGAGAGAGTCAAAGATATTACATGGAGAGTGGCTTATTGGTTAAGGAAAGGGACTTAGCAGACTTATATGTGACCACATAGCAAATATGTTAGGCTTTATGAGTTGTATAGTCTCTGTCACAACTACTTGGCACTACATTTTCAGTACAAAGGCAGCCACATATGATACTTAAAACACAGGAGCATTACTATATTCTGACTGGCTCTATTTCAACAAAACTTGTTACAAAATAGTCTTTTGATTTTTTTTCTCCACTATTTAAAAATGTTAAAAAAAAATGTTTAGAATTTTTTTCTTTTCCTTTTTTTTTGTTGTGAGACCAGGACTCAAACTCAGTACCTCATGCTTTACTGGTGCTCTACCAACTGAACCACGTCTTCAACTTTTGGGAAATTTTTAAATTGTTTTGTTGTTATTATAAAGGTAATGTACAGAGGGTTTTCACTTACATAAGTCAATCAATGAGTACTTTTCTTTTTTTACAGTGTCACCGCTTCCCTCACTCTGAGTTTTTCCCTCTCATCCCTACCTACAATTTATATAGTTCATTTTCAACACAGTGTCTAGTGAGTACCACTGTTGCATTTGTTCGCCCTTTGTCCCTCCATTTCTGTGTGGAATTTTTTTATGTAAAAACTTAACTGCAGATATAGCTTATTAGTAGTAGAGTGTTTGCCTAGCATGCACAAGGACCCAGTTTCAATCACAGCACCATAAAAAATGTAAAAACTTCTTAGCTCATAGACAACATAAAAGTGGGTGACTAGCTGGGTGCTGGTGGCTCACGCCTATAATCCTAACTGCTCAGGAGGCTGAGATCTGAGAATCATGGTTCAAAGCCAGCCTGGGCAAAAAAGTCTGTCAGACTCTTAGCTCCAATAAAAGCACCAGAAAACTGCAAGTGGCACTGTGGCTCAAGTGCTACAGTGCTAGCCTTGAGCTGAAGAGCTCAGGGACAGCACCCAGACCCAGAGTTCAAGCCCCACAACAGACAAAAAAAAAAAAAAAAAAAACTGGGTGACCAGCTTCATTTGCTTTTTGAATCTCCGGATAAGATCTTTCAGTACCCTTATAAGATCTTTGGGGTTTTTTAAAGAGCTTAAGAAGGAGCCCTTTGGGCTCGGAAGGTGGCTCAGTGGTAGAGTGCTTGCCTTGCATGCATGAGGCCCTGGGTTCAATTTGTCAGTACCACATAAGCAAAAAAAGCCAGAAGTGGCACTGTGGCTTAAGTGGTAGAGTGCTAGCCTTGAGTTGAAGAACTGAGGGACAGCGCCTAAGACCAGAGTTCAGTCCCCCCCCCCCCCTGAAAAAAAAGAAGGAGCCCTTGGCAAGTTTTGTACAGATGGATGAAATGATTATGTTTCGGAAACAATTAGGAGGAGTAAATATAAAACAAGATCAGCCATGTACCAATAATCATTGAAACTGGATGATATTATATAGGATTATCACTGTACTCTATTACATAAGTTTTAAAAATTGCATATTTTGGCTGGGAAGGTGGCTCAGTGGTAGAGCACCTGCCTTGCATGCTCGAGGCCCTGGGTTCGATTCCTCAGCACCACATAAGAAAAAAGCCGGAAGTGGCGCTGTGGCTCAAGTGGTAGAGCGCTAGCCTTGAGTTGAAGAGCTGAGGGACAGCGCCCAGGCCCAGAGTTCAAGCCCCACGACCGGACCCAAAAAATAAATAAATAAAATAAAAATTGCATATTTTAACAGGTTAAAAACAAATCTGAACGCAGATATTGTAGTGCATATCTGTAGTCCTAGCACTCAGGCTATATCAGAAGGATAGAGACTCTGAGTTCAGCCTAGCCTACCTAGTGAGTGACAATCTGAGATATAGGTAAGTGAGAATTTGTCTTAAAAACAAAGCCAGTGTTTATGTCTATAATCCAAGTTACTGAGGATTGACGTTCAAAGCTAGAGCAGATAGGAAAGACTGTGAGACTTTCATCTCCAGTTAACCACAAAAGGCTGGAAGTAGAACTGTGGGTCAAATGGTAAAGCAGTAGTCTTAAACAAAATAGCTCAGGGACAGTGCCCAGGCCCAGAGTTCAAGCCCCATCACTCACACACACATAGAGAGAAAAAACCACTTTGACTGTTGACTCAAAATAAACTATGAAGACAGAAGTTTTGAAACCAGAAAAGCAATTAGGAGCCTCTTATATATAGCAATGCATGAGAAAATGGTTGCTTATCCCTCAATAGTAGGGTTGGAATGGTAAGAACTGGCTGGAATCTGCATGAATGACAAAGGTGGATTGAACAAGAGCTATTGTGAATCAGATAAGTGTAAAAGAAAATAGGTGTTCGGATAACATCAGAATATTGGCAAGCAGAAAAATTCACTAAGCTTTAGTGTCAAGATGATATTGAGGGCTGGCCACATAGAAACAGCTAGCCATCATTGTGGCTGACCTTTGTCTCAGGTCCCTCCAGAGGCCAGGCTTATACTGCAAGGCCCAATGGCTGCAGCATAAATTCCATTGCTAACATAGGCCATCTGATTTGGCCCAAGGCCTCTAGTAAACTTGGGCTGAGAGGTTACCTCCCAGGATAAATGAAAACGTCCATACAAAATTTCTGAACAAGTTTTCATAGCAATATTTCTTTTTTGTTTGTTTGGTTTTGGGGGGTTTATGGTCGGTCGTAGGGCCTGAACTCTGGGCCTGGGCACTGTCCCTCAGCTCTTCAGCTCAAGGTTAGTGCTCTACCACTTGAGCCACAGTGCCACTTCTGGCTTTTTCTGCTTATGTGGTGCTGAGGAATTGAACCCAGGGCCTCATGCATGTGAGGCAAGCACTCTACCACTGAGCAGCCTTCTCAGCCCAACAGCATTATTTCATAAAAGCTCTAAAAGTGAAAAATATCCTGGTACACATCAATTAATGAATATATAAATACAGTGGAATAGGTGTTTTTGGCCATAAACAGCATTGAATTTCTAATACACGCTACAACAAGGATAAACCATAAAAATGTTATATGCAACAGGTCACACACATATTTTATATGACTTCACATATATGAAATGTTCAATAATTGCTACTATGTAAAGAAAGAAAAAGTTGATTAGCAGCTTGAAGAAGAAAAAAAGAATGACTGCAAATGAACGTGTGGAATGATGAAAATGTTCTGGAATTAGGTAGTAATGATGGCTACACAACTGTAAGTATGCTCAAAATCACCACTAAAATACATAATGAGGTGCATTTTGAGCTTTTGTCTTAGCATGATTGAGACCCTGGGTTCAGTAGCCAGTGTCTGAATGAATGAGAGAATATTAATATATCAAAATGTCCACAACCATACTTTGTGTTAATTTAATCATAAAAATACAAATCATATAAACACAAATTCAGTAAGGAAATCCTTCTCATCTTCATCTTTTCCTAGGCACTGTGAGGACCACCAGACACCTAGTCTAGGTAGAAGGGGAAGCCAGAGCTCCCACATTCATCCACTGAGGCCACCACAATCAGCAAGGCTTGGGGGAGGACAGCTCATACTTCTGCGCCCTGGAAACCCTTCTATCCTCTCTTCTCAGGACTCTTGGAGGTTTTTACCCTCATGCCCACCTTCCGCTCTGGTCACCCTTGGGCTACCAGTTTGAGGTTATCTCTAGGCTACAAGTGCTAGTAATGGGCTTAGAGTTACAGCCAGTCCTTACTATAGGCAGAGAAGGCTATTCTAGAAAAATGCCCCAAACTCATCCCCATGGCAAAAGAAAAAGGAATGTATACATGCATACACAACCAAACAAACACACATGCAGACATACACACACCCCTCATTTTATGCACATAGACAGGTCTTCCCAAAATTATGGTCTTCCTCAACTGGGCTGAAGCCCAAATCATTTAGATCACCTAAGGCTGATTGCTGGCCTCACCTTTAGGGTGTTAGATACTGGTGGTCCTGAACTCTAGGCAGTTCTAAGAAGCCACACCAATTCAGGGAGGGAGAATGAGTGGCACTAATAGATTCCTGGGGCCCTGGTGAAGCCATGGACCAGACTTGTACTTGCTTTGGCCTTCTGCAAGAAGCTTACCTCTCTTTAAGGATATACACAGAAAGGAAAGGCAACCAAAGTGCCTGATACTTTTAGCCCACAAACAGGATGACTGACAGGACTGGGACTGATAGTGGTTGATGAAGCTTCTGCTAAATCAAGGCAGAAAACCTGTGTTGGGAAACAGGAAGGGCACCTGGGATGTATGGGCAGCAGTTGGGGATGCCAGGACAGCTGAAGATGAGCTGATTTGAGGCCATAAACAGGAAGAATAGCTGGGTACATGTGTACTCCAGAGTGGCAGTGTCCTAGGAAACTGGCACCTAAAGCAGCAATCTGGGTTCACAAGGGCCCTCAGACAAAAGCTGTCCTATGCCCTGTATGATGGGCCCCCAGCACGGACTTCCCTCAGCTCTGCTAGGGAATGGGAACTCACATGTGCATTGGAAATGTGTGTGCTCCAGAGAAGCCCCAGGCTAACCCAGCTGCGCTGCTCTTCTAAACAGGCAGTGTCTCCTGTGAACACAAAGCTTTGTGCTTGGGAGAAAAGGAAAGGGGGGGGGGATTTCATACAAGATTTTCTCCCACAGAAAACCGGAAGTGGCGCTGTGGCTCAAGTGGTAGAGCGCTTGCCTTGAGCTGAGGAGCTGAGGTACAGCGCCCAGGCCCAGAGTTCAAGCCCCACGACCGACAAAAAAAAAAAAAAGATTTTCTCCCATAGTCAAGTGTTTAAAAACAGTCTTAGAAGAGGATGAGGAGGAACAAATTCCACACTTTCTTTGGAACTCATACACAGAGACAAACAGGCAGGCAAACCATCGCCTACACCCAGCCTACAGGACCCCTTGCAGCCACTCTTCTCTTGGTCTCCCTGCTTTCCTCACACCTCCAGGGAAACATGGGCATATATCACCATACTTTCAGATGGAAGTGTTTTATATCTGTGCTGTTCAAAATGGTTGAAATGCTGATACTAGAATTTGAAATCCAGCCTTTGCTCTTGCAAGGCACTCTATTGCTAAGCCATGTCTCCAGCCCTACATGAGCAATTTCAAGCCAGGCACAGTGGTTTACACCTGTAATCTAGCTACTTAGGAGGCAGAGGTTAGGAAGATCCCAGTTCAAACTTAGTCTGGGCAAAAAAAAGTCAAGACCCTGTCTCAACATGTCCTATAATTTCAGATGCATATGGGCATAGATCACAGTCTCAGGCTAAACAGGCAATAAGTACAAGAACAAAAGTTAGGTTACTTAGTTATTGCAGTCGATGCAACCATTGTAGAACCATGGTTGTCCTGGAAATAATACTGATTTTGTTTTTCATTTTTGAAGCATTTTCTGAGCTACTGTTTATTCCATAGTTGATAGCAATGCCAAAATGAATGGCACCACTTCTGTCTTTAAGACCTATGGCCAAGGACTTGACAGTTACATTATAAGTACAATGCAAAAAGTAGCAATATAAGATCATATGCAGGGTAGAATGCTTGCCTCACATGCATGAGGGCCTGGGTTAGATTCCTCAGTGTCACATAAACAGAAAAAGCCGGATATGGCACTGTGGCTCAAGTGGTAGAGCGCTAGCCTTGAGCTGAAGAGCTGAGGGACAGTGCCCAGGCCCAAATTTCCAGACCCAAGACTGACCAAAAGGAAAAATAAAAGATCATATGCAAAGTGATGTGAGAGGCCCAGAAAAGAAATCATGTAACCTTATTAGGAATTAAGGAAGGCTTCCCAGCAAACCTCAAAATTCAAGGTTTAAATGCTTGAGCTGAAACCTTAAAATGGGAATTGAATACATTTTTTGCCTCTGTATTTTGTTGCTTTCTGTAAGAATAGGTTTCCTACGTTACTGGTAAATCATTTTCATAGTCATACCTTGTCCTTGTTTTTCCTTGGCTTCATACAAGTTCAGTATATGCTTGACATAGGGCTCTCCCTGCCCCCCCCCGCCAAGTCTGTTGCCTTTAACCATCCTTTCTTCTGCAGTGCTCTGTAAGAAGCTGCACCACAGCTTTTCATGTCACCTGTGCCTTTGAGCACAACCTAGAGATGAAGACCGTCCTAGATGATAGCGACGAAGTAAAGTTCAAGTCATTCTGTCTCAAGCACAGCCAAAACAGGCAGTCACTTGGGGAGGTTGAGCCCCACAACCACAGAGCTGCCGAACCAAGCCAGACCAAGAATGAGAAAAATAACGTGAGGGCACAGAAGCTTCGTGAACTAGAAGAAGAGTTCTATTCCTTCGTGAAAGCAGAAGACGTGGCTGCAGAACTAGAGCTACCCATGGAAACTGTGGACTTTATCTATAACTACTGGAAACTCAAACGCAAAAGCAACTTCAACAAACCATTATTTCCTCCCAAGTTGGAAGAAGAAAACATCCTGGTACAGCCAAAAGAAGAAAATATTCACACTCGCATGAGAATGTTTATGCACCTGCGGCAGGACTTGGAGAGGGTAAGGAGACTGGTGCTGACTAGTGTGTAGATCATAGTCTGCATAAAAATAAAAGGTCCTACTTCCAGTTTAAAAAGGACCTCCTAGGTTTTGCCTATCTTCTGATTTTACTATAGTCTGGAGACATTGGGGCTCCTTTGAAATTTTGATTAGCACATTCAGGGATTGGCAAGGCCTCATGTATATGATTTTTGTTGTTTTCTATTTTCCTATCTTTTTTTTCTGGTCCTGAGGCTTAAACACGGTCTGGGTGCTGTCCTTGAGCTTCTTTTGCTCAAGTCTATTGCTCTACCACTTGAGGCACAGTGCTACTTCCAGCTTTTTCTGTGATTAATTAGAGATAAGAGTATCACTAAGATATGAGCCACCCACACCCAGCTTTAGTTTTTTGTTCACTTTTGTCAGTCGTAGGGCTTGAACTCTAGGCCTGGGTGCTGTCCCTGAGCTCTTAAGCTCAAGGCCAGCGCTCTACCACTTGGGCTTTTTCTGTTTATGTGGTGCTGAGGAATCAAACCCAGGGCCTCATGCATGCAAGGCAAGCACTCTACCACTGAACCACCTTCCCAGCACCTTGTTTGCTATTTTGAGCCTAAATTGGCTTGACTGTATTTACTTACCCAATTTAGAGAATGAAGGCTGAGGAAAGAGTGAACTTTAGGTTCAGGAAAGTGCTAGCTGCACTCTGTGTATTTTAGACTGCATAGTACAGATTTTATGCCTTCATTTATAGGAAGTAGCATAAGATACTTGGCAGCATTGCTGGCCTCCTCCATTCCACACAGAGTTGTATGACCCACAGCTAATGACAAGTCCAGAGTTCTGCAAGCCCTGGCAGTCAAAAGCACATCAGGTTGACAACCACACCACCAGATAATTTAACTCAGGATATATTCTTCAAGTATCCACTAAGTTAGGTGCTATAGGAGTTCAAAGGTAAACTAGTTGCTATTTTTTATTCTGGAGAATATTTATGTTGATTATGCAGTTATAGAAATGGCTTGGTGGTGGGGGATTTCCCTTCTGCTACCAAAACTCCAAAAACTATGATTTTTTTTTTTTTTTTTGTCGGTCGTGGGGCTTGAACTCTGGGCTTGAGCACTGTCCCTGTGCTCTGCAGCTCAAGGTGAGTGCTCTACCACTTGAGCCACAGCGACACTTCCTGTTTTCTAGTGGTTTATTGGAGATAGGAGTCTCATGGACTTTCTTGCCTGGGCTGGCTTTGAACCATTATCCTCAGATCTCAGCCTCCTGAGTAGTTAGGATTATAGGCGTGAGCCATCAGCGCCCGGCTAAACTATGAGATCTTAAAAAGATATTTTTTGCCTGTCCTGTGGCTTGAACTCAGAGCCTGGGCACTGACCCTGAGCTTTTTTTTTTCCCTCAAGGATAGCACTCTGCCACTTGAGCCAGCACTGTTTCTGGCCTTTTGTGTTTATGTGGTACTGAGGAATCCAACCCAGGGCTTCATGCATACTAGGCAGGCACTCCCAACCCAAGTACATTTATATTTGAACAGTGTCACCCTTTCCCTCATTTTATCCCAGTGAGATATGAAAAATTTTAAGATACACATAGAGTTGCTGTTGTTAACTGCTGTTGTTACCAACACTCTTCTAAACATTTTATAAATACTCTTTTAATCCTAACTTACTTAAGGAAAGAAACACTTAACCACCCCCATTTACAGAAGCATAAACTAGATCACAGAACAGGTGAGGGGTGTGAGAGAAGAAGTTTTGCCCCTGGTGACTGTGGAAACTTGATTAAGCTGAAGATATGAGCAAAAAAGCCACTTTCTACTGAGGAGGCTGAGATCTGAGAATCGCAGTTCAGAGCCAGCCTTAGCAGGAAAGTCCATGAGACTCTTAACTCCAATTTTCCACTAAAACCGAAGTGGAGCCAAAAAAAGAAACTACTTTGAATCTTAGAAGCAGACTTTTCTCTTTTACTTCCATCATTTGTACTCGGGACTGAAAGGGAAGGTTAAATCAATAGACATTCTTCCCATTCTGATTGTGCATGTAATTATTAAGCTCATAACACCACAAAAAGAATAGATTTTTAAAGTTGGGCACAGTGGCTTACACCTATACTACCAGCTACTCAGGAAGCCCCAGAGATTGAGAGGGCTAGTCTGGGGGAAAAAAACTGAGACCCCATTTCAACACACTAGTAATGATGGTACATGTCTGAAATCCCAGCTACACAGGAGGCATAGATAGTTAGGATCATGGTCCAAGTCTAGCCCCAGGCAAAAAGCATGAAAACCCTATCTGAAAATAGCTTAGAATAAAAATGACCAGAGGGAGTGGCTCAAGTAGTAGAATGCTTGTCTAGTAAGTATATGGCCCTGAGTTCAAACCTCAAAGTTGCTGGGGTGGGGGGAAAAACAGACTGCGGAAGGCAGCATTGGAGCATTTTGCTTTTGCTACTGATTAATATGGAATTAATGACCCATAATGGCTACAAAAATTCCTGTGGAATTCTCTCACTGTATGGCTCTTGAATCCAGTCATCATTCTTACCCATCCTCTACTTCAACCTTAGTCATCTTCATTTTAGATAAACAATTTTAACTGTCAAATTTTGTTACCATGACAAACATCTATTTTCTGGGGATTGGGCTTTTAGGTCCGAAATCTGTGCTACATGATAAGCAGAAGAGAGAAGCTGAAACTCTCTCAGAACAAGTTACAGGAGCAGATCTTCAACTTGCAAGCCCAGATTATGCACGACGAAATTGCTACAGGTAACCTGTGTGTTATAATTGTCCTAGCAAATATATAGACTCTGGTTTCATGCTTTTTAACAATTTAATTATGTCAAATGTTCCACAAAGTATTTTAAAGTTCTTGTCAGATATTTCATTTGCTTCAGTCCAGTCCTGATATGAACATGGCTCATGTTATCTCATGAGGCCAGAAATCTCAGGATAGGCTTGAAAATTGCAAGTGTCTAAACCCCAAACATATGTTTGAGGCCTTTAATTGGAGCCATGAAATTATTCTGTAATGATCTAATTCATTAAGATAATCTCAATATGGGCTGGGAATGTATATTAGTGGTAGAGTGCTTGCCTAGCATGCATGAAGCCCTGGTTTCTATTCCAGAAAAGGCCAGAAGTGGCACTGTGGCTCCAGTGGTAGAGTGCTGGCCTTGAGCACAAGAAACTCAAGGACAGAGCCCAGGCCCTGAGTTCAAGCTCCAAGACTGGCAAAAAAAAAATCTCTATAGATTAGAAGATCCCATCTGTAATCCTAGCTACTCAGATGGCTGAGGTCTTGAGGATAGTGGTTCAAAGCCAGCCCAGGCAGGAAAGTTTATGACATCTCCAGTTAACCATAAAAAATCCAGAAATAGGGATGCGGTTCTAATAATAATATGATAAGATTGAATCTCAGTTCCCATAAAGCATTTAATTCCAGGGTTATTCACCAGTAGTCTATAAAATCTTGGCCAGAAGTTAAGAGAAATGTGCCTTATTTTTTCATTTATTCATTAACATTTGTTGAGCACCTACTAGGGACTAAGATCTAAACTATGCAAGCCTAGCTGGAATAATGACAGTCATATTCAGTAATACCTGTAGCCTCCCTGCTTCTTATTTAACACAGATAGGTAACAACCTGGGCCACTAGGGGTCACTGAGATAGGTATTCAGAATCAGCTCTTGTCAGGGGCCAGCCAAATGAGGTTGTGGGATATTTGTATGTGGTAACAGGTGGAAGCAAAGTGGTATAGCAGGAGACAGTGATAGCATTACAGGACAATGTGACTAGCAAAGCAAGAAGAACCAAAGAACAGCAAGGAAAAGCCCCTGTGTGCTGAAGAGATTGATTCTAGCCCTTTGTTTTGTAATTGTAGAAGTCATAGCCTCCGAATGGCTGGCAACATCAAGAGGTGGCAGAAATGGGGGCTGTGGGTCTCACACACTGCCCATGGGGTACCTTTTTAATTTGGAAGTGTTCAACATAATAAAGACTTATGATCATGTGGAGACATAGCCAGGGAACTGGCCAAAGGTGGGAATATTGTCATTCTTTTCTGATTCTTACATTAGAACCTCCCTGTAACCACTATCATGGCAACTTGTAGTCAGGATATTGTTACAGGTTAAGAGCCTAAACTTCTTAGGAACCACCCACTTTTTTTGTCATTGGGCTTGAGTGCTGTCCCTCAGTCTTCAACTGAAGGCAAGTGTTCTACCACTTGAGCCACAGTGTCACTTCTGGCTTTTTCTGCTTATGTAAGTACTGAGGAATCGAACCCAGGGCCTCATGCATGCAAGGCAAGCACTCTACCACTGAGCTACCTTCCCAGCCCATCTACCACCCACTTCTAATGACAGGTTACAACATAAATGTACTCTTCCTGACCAAAACCTTTGCTGCATTTATGAGGAAGGCCAGGAGAGAAGGGAGGGATATGATCTGAGATGTCCATGTTCAAGGCATGTCTTTAGCAGTGCCATGGATTACCGATGCTTGCACAAACCAAGACACACAAGTAGACAGTGTCAATTTCAATCTGCTGCTAGTAGCCGAGCGCTGGTGGCTCATGCCTGTAATCCTAGCTACTCAGGAGGCTGAGATCTGAGGATCGCGGTTCAAAGCCAGCCCGGGCAGGAGAGACCGTGAGACTCCTATCTCCAATAAACCACCAGAAAACCGGAAGTGGCGCTGTAGCTCAAGTGGTAGAGCGCTCGCCTTGAGCTAAAGAGCTGAGGGACAGCGCTCAGGCCCAGAGTTCAAGCCCCACGACCGACAAAAAAAAAAAAGTCACATCAATCTGCTGCTAGTGACCTTGTGTCTGTAGGGGAAGGAGGCAGACTAGGGGTACAAGGAGTAGCATACTAGTCTTTGTAATCCTTTTACAGACAGGGAAAAGAGAGGTTAGGAAGTTGGGAGCCATGGAACAGAGTGGCACTACTAAGATTATCACCCTTAGCCCCATCCTCTAGTGCTGCTCTCACCACTTACACCATGATGTACTTACATATCAATGATAGGTCTTTGGTAAGCACTAGTAAGAGTGGATCCATCAGCTCCCTCTGCCACAAGCACATAAACTATTATCAGTTGATAAATCATTCTTTTCCATCTCAGGATCTCCTTTGACAAATGCACTGGAGAACGCACTATTTTCCTCACCATCAAAAGTTGCCTTAAAGTCGGGGGCCAGACCAATACCAGAAGATTGCAGAAATGGCACCATAGAGACTGATCATCGACCCTGCTCCCCTAGCAGTGGCTTGCTTACTCTCAGTAAAAGAAGCCTACAGGTGCCTGAAGTGCCACTGGACCTGCAAGTGAAATCATATTCAATGCCTCCACTAGAAAGCAAGAAAAACTGTTTGCTCGACAGCCTCAACCACTCTCAGAATGAAGCCAACAGTCCCAGTCCTACTCAGAAATCTCCATCTTCTGAGTTTTCTCATGGGCCATCAGTGGAAATGGAGAAGTCTCCAGTCTTTGAGGCTGTCCTCTATGGACAGTCTCGTGCCAACAGTGGAAATAGTGAGCCTAGCCCCAAGTCTGCCAAGTCAAATGGCCTTGAGGACAATCTGCCTTTGAATGTCATCCAGGAAGCTAGTGCTAGTGAGATACTCGGTAACCAGGAGCCCATGGTAGGCTCCCACTTAGCTGGTCAGAGTAGCTTTAGAAAATCAACTTTGGAAAAGTTCAGATCCTTTAAAGAAACAACCAAAAAATGGAGAAGGAGCACTGAGGGCCCCCAATGCTATGTGAAACCAACTAAGAGTATAAATCCTAAAGATCAGTTCCGGGGTAGGCAGCTTCTCAGGCGATCCTCTGAGAAAGCTGCATATCCAGAGACCGATGGTTATTGCCCAGATTTGGAACTGAGTGATTCTGAGAGCGAAAGTGATGGAAGTAAGGAAAAAGACCTTGTAAACAAAGATAGCTCAGACAAGGAAAGCCCTCCTCAGGATTCTGAACAGGATTTCCATAGGGAAAGCGAGGTACATCCTCTTCCCCATGGTTCAATGCAGAGATGATTAGAAACTGCCAGTGGTCCAATATTTGCCCCAGTTACTGGGACAAATCCAAACACCAAAGGATTCTGGCATATATTAGGAGGAAATACAGTAAAAGGGAATTTTTTCCACAGTAAATTGAATTGCAGTATTTGAAAAGGTTTCAAGTCTTAATTTTTACAAGTATATAGTAAGAATTACAGATTATGTCTGGAAGTTGGTTTGTCAGGGGTTGTTTGGAAACAGCTAGGTCCAGAGTTACTTGTTCAGTGAATGCTCAGGGACTGCTTTCCAGTTACATTAACATACTGCTAAGTATGTATTAAGGGTCCTTACATTGCTAATGGTCTCTGTTTATGTATTAAGGGTCCTTACATTGCTAATGGTTTACAAGAGACCATGATTATCAGACACTAAATCTACTTACTATTTGAAACTACAATATAATTCCCAGAGCTCCAGTCTCTGGAAAGTTTCTAATACTGGTGTCTCAAGGGAGAGACTGGGAGAGATTATCTGTCAGATACTGTCAAGCTCACTACCCTCTTCCTTTGCTTCTGGCTAGGTGGAGTTTCTTTGACAGAATCATAACTTACCAGTCAGTTCTCCTAATGCTTGAAGTGTCCAGTGCCTGTTCTTAGACCTGCTTGTTGGGGACATACTCATAATTCTTTTACCCAGCTAACAAGCATAAAAGGCTAACTTGTAATAGTGTTTACAAAAGTACACATGTACTACTTCCAAGGAAAATGCTCTGGTTCTCTGTTTAGGGATTTTCGAAGAATCCCAGAGTCTTTCCCAAAGTGAGATCATTTCTGGGATATTTGTACCAGATCAGGGTTTTCATGTTGTTTTCAAATGAGTTTGGCTGACAGTTTTTGTATTCCTGCTTTAATGTTTATAAGAAATTTTATTGAGGTATAAGGAAAATATAATGAAGCGCACAGAGGTTAAGTATTCTTATTTGCTTTAATTTTGAAACAGATTTTTATTTTCAAACAGAATTTAAGTCATGTGTTTATCACATGCATATAATTTAGCTTTGTGTCCATTTTGAATCCAAGGCAATTTTCCAAACAAAAAGGCTAGAGCCATTTTTCACAGGTTGTTTGTATACCCTCCTCCAAAACTCTCAGCCTTGGTTCCTTCTTTCTAGAGGAAGAGAATAATTACACTTCAGGGGAAGGGGTGAAACACGTTTGCTTCCATTTTGAAAAGAAGGCAAAATACCAGTTTTAAAATGTGAAGCAAACTGGGATGCTCAGCTCTCTTGTTGTTAGCCTTAAATCAATATTCTCTTTTTTCTAGCTTGGAAAAATGTAGTAACAATTTTCAAACAGAAGAGGCCATTTTCAATTTCTAAAGTTTTGTACTGGTGAAATAGCCCGGCTCTGATAAGGTGCCAGTGAGTGAAGCCTACGCTGGTTTGGTGGCTACAGAAAACTCAATGCACTTTGCTTCACCCCACTTTTGTTCTGACTTTGTCAAGAAAAGTTTCTTGTGCTTTTCTCCCTTTCTGGAAACTTCTGTATTTTACATGTTGCTTGGCTGTCTTCAGAATGTTTCTTCTGTGCCTATGTACAAGTGTGAATATGCCATGACGTGTGATGTAGAGCGTTTGAATGGAAAAATGGAGAGAACTTGCCCTTACACCTGATGAAGCTTCTGTGCATAAAAATTTGACACTTTCATGGTAACAAAATTATAAGAGAATTATAAGAGAATTGAAAAGGCCTCTTGGTGTTAGAGGCCAATACAGGATTTTATATTCATCCTGTCATGCCTTTCCATTTTCTGTGCATGGAAGAGAAAGCAAATGGGAACAATATACTTCAGCCACTTTCCATATGCAATGCCATGGGAAACTATCATTTCAATCAGGGAAATATAGTAATAATATTTTTGCAGCATTTTTCTAAATAAATGAAGGAGCCTTCCATTGTATACATTTCAACTGCCCCAGATTGCATTTGCTACATTTTGTTTGAAGTATTACCTCTTGCCTCTATTAATTTTTTATCTTAGAAAGTCTGGTTTTTCAAGATAAATACAATCTGTTTTCAAAGTCACCTTTTTACCAATACTTTTTCATTAAATTATGAAAATAACTACTGTCTGCATGGCATTTTTTTATTTTAGCATACTTGTTTTAAGAAAATCTTAATGTGTTCCTTGTATACTTACAATTATATTCACTAAGCAAAACGAATTAATGATGGGGAGAGAAATGAAGAGGAGGGATTGAGTGTTTAGAAACAACGGAATTGAATGTTGAAAAGCCCATACTGATTATAGTGGCACACACCTGTAATCCCAACACTCAGAAGGCTGACATAGGAGGATTGTTAGTTAAAGGCTAGCTGAGCTATATACCTAGACCCTATCTCTAACAAGCAAAAAAAAAAAAAGATTCATGATTCGTGTCAATACAGGGGGCCAAGGAACATTCTAGGTACTTATTTGGACTTTACCCAGAAACTATTATTTCATCAGGCTGAGAAGATAAAGACCTTAGAGTCGTCAAAAAGAATCACCAGAGAGATGTGTCCTAGCTAAAGTGACAAGGCTCAGAAAGTTCAGTAAATTGAGGATCATGTAAGTAAGTATTCTTTACAGTGTTTGTTCCATTTGGAGTTCTATACATATAATAAAATTAGGGTTATGTGATATGGGAGATACTCAGAGGGTAACATAAACATTTTCATCATGTTAGCAGAATGAACTTGTGAAAGTCATTGGTTAAATCAATACTGATGAAAGCTTTCTCCCCTTTTTCTTCTCTTCCCTACAGGTGAATATTATCTGGTTCTAGTAGCTTATTCTGAAGAAGTAAAACTACAGGTTGTTGGGTATAACTAGCCAACAAAAACTGCTGGGATGGGCTTGGAAGGTAGCTCAGTGGTAGAGTGCTTGCCTTGCATGCATGAGGCCCTGGGTTCGATTCCTCAGCACTACATAAGCAGAAAAAGCCAGAAATGGTGCTGTGGCTCAAGTGATAGAGCAGGAAAAAAAAAACTAATCATAACCAATTTAATTAATTACCTTTTCATCAGCCTTAATATGACTATTAGCTATTTTGTCCCTAACTGACTATTTGCAGGTTTTGTGAAAAGTGTCATGGGGGCTGGGAAGATGGCTCAGTGGTAGAGCGCTTGCCTTGCATGCCTGAGGCCCTGGGTTCGATTCCTCAGCACCACATAAGCAAAAAGAAAAAAGCCAGAAGTGGCGTTGTGGCTCAAGTGGTAGAGCGCTAGCCTTGAGCTGAAGAGCTGAGGGACAGCGCCCAGGCCCAGAGTTCAGGCCCCACGACCGGACCCAAAAAAAAAAAAGAAAAGTGTCATATATGTATATATATTTGTGAAACATGGTGCTTGAACTTGAGGCCTGGGAGCTGTCCCTGAGCTCTTTTTGTGCAAGGCTAGCACTCTACCACTTTGAGCCACCAATTTCTAGTTTGCTGGTGGTTAATTGGTCCTCAGATATCAGCCTCCTAATTAGCTAGTATTACAGGCATGAGCCACCAGCACTTGGTGTATATTAGTTTTTTTGTTGGTCGTGGGCCTTGAACTTGGCCTGGGCACTGCCCCTCAGCAATTCAGATCAAGGCTAACACTCTACCACTTGAGACATAGTGTCACTAACAGTTTTTTGAGTGATTCATGGAAGATCAAAGTCTCACAGACTTTCCTGCCCAGGCTGGCTTTGAACCATGATCCTCAGATCTCAGCCTTTTGAGTAGCTAGGATTACAGGTGTGAGCCACCAGCACCCAGCTGTTAACATTTTTTCCAGTCCTGGTGCTTGAACTCAGGGCCTGGGCACTGTCCCTGAGGCTCTTTTGCTCAAGGCTAGCACTCTACCATTTCGGCCACAGTATCACTTCTGGCTGTTTCTGTGTATTTGGTACTGAGGAATTGAACCCAGGGCTTCATGCATGCTAGGCAAGCACTCTACCACTCAGTCGCCTTCCTAGCCGATACATATTAATATTCTTTTTTTTTCATTTGTGCTGATGAGATTGTCATATATCTTTTTTAAATAAGTTTTTACAGAGGGGTTACAGTTACATGAGCAAGGTAATGAGTACATTTCTTATCAAGCATTGTTGCCTCCTCTGTTTTTCCCCTACCATCCCTTCCCTCCCACCTCCTCAACTAAACTCCCTCATCCTCCCACCCCCACCTAAATTGTAAAGTTCATTTTTCAATATAGGATCTTGTACATCCCATTGTTGTAATGGGTCATTCTTAAAGTAACTTTTAGTTTGTGATAAAATAAAGACCTACCTCTTGGGGTTGTAAGTCCTATGCAGAGCTTTGAGGCTTCTAGAGTACCATCGATTTTTTTCCTCATAGATTGGAACAGATTGTATTGCCAAAAGATGTGAGGATCATTGTCCTTAAAAAATGAGTCGAGTTAGCTGGGCACCAGTGGCTCACACCTGTAATTATAGCTACTGTTCGTGACTCTAGTAAACCACCAGAAAACAGAAGTGGCGCTGTGGCTCAAGTGGTAGAGTGCTTGTCTTGAGCTGAAGAGCTGAGGAACAGTACCCAGTCCCAGAGTTCCAAGCCCCACTACCAACAAAATAAAAGTGGAGTTAAGGAAGCTCACAAATCCAAAACCCTATCTTTTGCTTTTTCATTGTTGCTAAATTCTTAGACTTCATGCTTCCTAAATACATTAATCATCTTGATAAATTCCAGCCTTCTCATCTTGTTTAGGTGGATTGAGCTGTGAACATTTCTCAGGGCCTGACCATCCCAAACTTTGAGGGTCCTTCCCTCCCCCACACTACTCCTTTCATCCTTTTTCCATTTCATATATGATCAATGATTAGTCCTTAAAACAAGCTAGTGAAGCCAGGCTCACGCCTGTAATCCTAACACTCAGAAGGCTGAGATCTGAGGACTGTGCTTCAAAGCCAGCTTGGACAGTAAAGTCTGTGAGACTCTAGTCTCCAATAAACCACCAGAAAACCAGAAGTGGTGCTGTGGCTTAAGTGGTAGTGCTTGCTAGCCTTGAGCTGAAGAGCTCAGGGACAGAGCCCAGGTCCAGCCCCACAACCAACAAACGAAAAGCTAGTGCTAAATACTGGTGGCTTATACCTGTAATCCTAGCTGCTCAGAAGGCTGAGATCTTAGGATCATGGTACAAAGCCAGCCAGGGCAGGAAACTCAGTGAAACTTATCTCCAGTTAACCACCAGGAAACTGAAAGTGGAGCTGGGGCTCGAAATGGTAGAGTGCTACCCTTGAGCAAAAATGCTCAGGAACAACACCAGGCCCTGTGTTCAAGCCCCATGAACAACCAACAACAACAAAAAAAGAAACGGAGTTGGGAATGTGGCTTGGTGGTAGGGTGCTTGCCTAAGCACAGGGTTTGATTCCTCCTTACCACATAAACAGAAAAAGCCAGAAGTGGCGCTGATGCTCAAGTGGTAGAACAGAAGCAGCTCAGGGACAGTGCCCAGGCCCTGAAAGTGGCTCATGCCTAACTGTACTCATAGCTACTCAGGAGGCTGAGATCTGAGGATCACAGTTCAAAGCCAGCCTGAGCAGGAATGTCCATGAGATTCTATCACCAAAAAACTATTAAAGGGGGAATAAAGCCAGAAATTGAACTGTGGCTTAAGCGGTCTGCACTAGCCTTGAGTAAGAGCTTTCAGTGGCATGCCAGATACCAGTGGCTCATGTCTGTGATCTTAAGAGGCTGAGATCTGGATCGCATTTCAAAGCCAGCCCAGGCAGAAAAGCCCGCCAGAAAACCAGAAGTGGCTCTTTGACTTAGTAGAACACTAGCCTTGAGCTGAAGAGCTCAGAGACAGTGCCCAGGCCCAGAGTTCAAGCCCCAGGACCCTCACCAAAAGAAAAAAAAATTATGGAAAGATGGGATGGCTAGAGTGAGAGCATTTGCAAAATGACCTACTCAGCACATGTACAAATCATGCATCTCATTTTAGTCATTTCCCACATAATTGAAAAGAAAACTCCACTCTAAATTGTTGAAATTTGGAGAAACACAAATTGCATTGAGTTAATCACTTCACCCTCAAAAAACCTCCAGTTGGACAGTTAACTATTTTAGATCTTTCAACTACTTAATGGGAGAAAAATTACTATTCCTGGTTTGGATAAGCCTGTCATAGGCCAGACACCCATGGCTCATGCCTATAATCCTACTTACTCAGGAGGCTGAGACCTGAGGATATTAGTTGGAAGCCAGTCCAGTCCAGGCAGGAAAGAGCTTGAGATTCTTACCTGTAACTAACTACCAAAAAGCAGGAAGTGGTGCTATGGCTAAAAGTGGTAGATGCTAACCTTGAGCAAAAGAGCTCAGAGACAGCACCCAGGCCCCAAGTTCAAGTCCCATGACAGTTAAAAAAAAGAGCCTACCATAGACACCAGGGTACTACTAACATTTTCTTTTGTCACCCTAAACTCACGTCTACTCTGCAAACTAGGATTTCTGGTTAAGTTCTTGTCCCTCCCAGTTCTGCAGGAGTAGCTGGAAGGGTAACCCCAATGGTGGTATACACAAAGCTGCTGTTGGTTGTCATATTTGCTGACTGCATAGCCATGGGTAGGCATGAGGAAAGTCGAACACGGCTGTCTGCAGTCTCTGGGCCAGAATTTGTGCAGTTGTCTTGTCCTCCAGTTCTCAAAGATGGACTGTAACACATAGGCAAAGACCAGACTAAAGGTCACTTTCAAGACAGCTACTTAGGCTGAGATCAGTGGTTCACACTTGCAATCCTATCTACTCAGCAGGCTGAGATCTTAGAATCAAAGTTCCAAGCCAGTTGTGGCAAGCACAAAAAAAAAAAAAAAGCCAGAAGTGAAACTGTGGCTCACATGGAGCAGTAGCCTCAAGCAAGAAAGCTCAAGGACAGCCCTCTTAAGAACACAACCAAGATCAAAATACTTGGTAGGACAAGCTTGGTAGGACTGCTTGGAAGCAGTCAAGCCTTCAAGAAATTTAAAACCAGGAAGTGGAGTTGTGGCTCAAGAAGTAGAGTGCCAAAGTTGAACAAAAAAGATAAGCAAGATCCAGGCACTGGTAGCTCACGCCTG